AACATAGCTTGCGTTTTAAATTAAACTCTAGCAATGATGTTCACTCACTGATGCTCACTGCTGCTGGCAGTGGAATCATGCTTGAAAAGACTTTTGCAGGGTGCAGCTTTAGAACCCCCACGACGCAGGCTTAATTCTAAAGATACAAGAGAAAGCCCTCTGTCTTACCTTTTGGGCTGAATAATGAGTATGATTTTTCTGAAAATCAATACACTGGAAGCTTTCTAGACAGTAATTCTACAGTTTTTTAGTTGCTCATAATATATTTATGTGTATCTCCAGCCTTCAAAAATCTGTTTTAAAGAAACACTGTTCCTTAAGTGCACAGCAGCACAGAGTCTTTGTATGTGCAGCCCCTTTAAACTTAAATCTGATTAAATTGCACATGGGTAGACATGTAACACTGGCACTTTGTGAAGTTCCCAGGACCAAAATTAACCTTCATGTAATTCTTCATTATTGTCTGAACTAGCCCATTTTTTGCTAAGATCTTAAAACTGCCGTGTTTGTAGAATCCTGCAAAAATGAAAGTGAATACACAAGCCTCAGCTGTTTCAGAAGGTACTATGACATCTTTCCATAGAAAAACACAGTGGTTTTCTGGTTTTTAAATCTAAAGCCCATTTTTCCTTACAAAGTCCAGTTACAGAGTAGAACACGCTCATTCACTGAAGCCAAGATCATGTGCTATTTCCACAACCCTTAACTCATTCATCTTCATCTTGAGCCTTCTCCTCATTGCCTTATTCCAGCCAGATCTTATCTAGTTTTAGGTTTTGCTTTTTCCTTGCTGTCATTCTTTTCTTTCAGGTGTCTGGCTTAATAAATATAACTCCTAATAATTATCTATAAAGATATTGCTTTAAAAGATGGAAAGGTGGGGGCCTTGAACACAAATGATAGGGTTTCATATAAGAGCATTTTTCCCAAATCTGGTGCTATTTGAAGTATATGAAAACATTTATCTCCATAAAACAAGTGAGAAAAAATAGCAAGACCGGATTTTGATCAATACCAATTCTGAACAAGTTTGATCACACCACTTGACATTTTGAGCAAGTCTGGAAGTACATTCACAGAAAACCTGGGATTTCCTAAGAGTCTCTAGCACTGTAAGAGGATGCTGCTGATTTGGGTAGGAAATCTTCTGTCTACATTTTTTATTTGTCTTATACAGCTATAATAAGGCAATAAAATGCATTAATTTAATCCTATAATTAATCTCATTGACAATCCTTCAGTACTGTTGTTATATTGCTGACTTATTTTGGACTTTTGCTAGTCTTCGGTTTTGCTTTAGGAGAACGAATGATGGTTTTATCAAGCTGTTTATAGATGGAAAGAAAAAAAAACTGAAAGAAAAAAACCCCATTTGAAATCACTGCATATAGAAATGGTCATCAGATGCCATCAAAGTAACACCCAGGGAGCTGGTGCAGGGATGGGTAATGTTGCACTTTTAAAAAGAGTGATGCTCATTTATACTCTCATATTGAATCAGGGAAAGTTGTAAAGAGACAATTTTTTCATGCTGCAGAAAATTATGTTCATAAAAACAGGCATTCACTAATTACTCTGAGAAGCACTGTCGTTAATGATTCCTTCTCCTCTGGAGGCCCATACTACAACATGAAAATGTGAATGGGACAGATGTACACACCTAACGTTGATGGGTCTGGGATCCAGAACTGATCTGTTCATTGCACCTATTTCTTTTTAGCTCTACATGGTTTATAAAAGAAAGCTTGGTAAATAAATAAATAAATAAATAAATAAATGGCTGAATGAATTGAAGGGATGCAAAGCAACAAGAGTTTTCAAGCTGGCTTTTCTAGTTTTAAACTCATTTTCTGAGACAGGCTCCTTCTTTATCTCTGAGGACTCATTCGCTTCCTTCTCACATAAGACAAAAATCTTTCTGAGATACTGAATCAGGAAGTCTCTCCTCTGTGGAATTTTCATAATGCATTCAGAACTGCTATGTTTGAGGTTTTCCCAGGAATATATTAAGCTATGTGACCTCTATCATTTGGGTTGGTATGGTTTGGGGTTTTTTCTCCAATTTCTTCTGCGGGTGAGGAGTATCTTCAGTGAAGTGTTTTGCTGAAAATGTATTTATTTTGTGCTGTATATCAGTACATTGTAGCATGTTTTTCTGAGAGAAACAAGGTCAAAGAAATGCATCTTGCATTGTAACAGAGGTGGTAAATTTCAGGAGACCCCTTCATTCATGTGGGAATTCATTGACAATTTTAGATGACTGGTCCCCAGGAAATCTCTGCTACATGCATAGGTGAGCTGTACCCTTCCTACAGGAGGACTTGGTCTACCCAAGAAGCATGTTCTTCATCCCAGAGGTCTCAGTGGTCACCATGAGCTCAGGCCATTGAGCACACTCAAAGTAAAAACTGCCACTTCTGGTTCTGAACTGCAGCTCTGAGTGTGTGCCCTCTGATGATGATGCAATTAGAAGATAAATCTTGAATGGCTATTACTGGACCAGAACTGATAAGTTGCTTGGTTAAAAAAGAGGGGGAAGTAGCAACAGAAAGCCTAATGTGATTTTCAAATTAAAACAAAATTAGTATGTGTACCAAGCAAAGGGTTGGATTAATGTGGGAGAAGGGGAGGTTTATTTTATGAACTCTGATTGTCTCATGGGAAACAAACTTCCATTCGTATTTAGAACAAAATGATTTCCAGCTTTAAGGCACTCTTTTAATCAGCCAGCTCATCTGATGAAATGCTGTAGGATTTACTCATGTATCGGAGGAGTTCCCTAGACATTTAAGAGATGCAACTGAATACAATTAAAAGATCAGCTGTAAGCACAATTTGTGATAGTTTGTTTGCTGTGCTTTGTGAGAGAAGTTTAGTGAGCTTGAGGTGTCTTAGAAGATAGTAAACTACTGAACTGTATTACAAGAAAAGCTTTACCATTTCAACCTACTAGAGATGCAACTATTCAGCTATCTTGGATCTTATGGTCTGTAAAAAGAGAACAGAGAAACTATTAAACCAGGATTCACATCCAAGAACGGCATCATTTATGAACAACCTTTCCAGACCTAATTTGTTGCTGAATTAAACCCCATGTAATGTCATTGAAGTCAATGGGGTTATGCAGGGCATAAGTCAGTTGACCAAATTAGGCATCTGTCCTGAAGCCAAGAAACCAAAGGAAAGAGTGATACAATAAAACAGAGATGAAATGCTGATAATAGCTGAGTGCCACTGTTCTTGGTACAGTGCGTTCTTTGTATCTAGCAGTGAATATTTCATCCTTCCCAGGTGTAAAATCTTCCCAGCAGCACTATAAAGCAGATTTATTATAAATGACAAAATTAATGATTTAGTTCTATTGTAATGCAACTTCTGGGCTCCCAACAAGAACTTAAGCAGTTAGCAGACAACGTCTATTCTGGCTACAGCATGATCTCCAAATCAAGTCTTGGTCTCTTCAGAAAAGTCTTGGGGATGGCTTCCTTTTTTTTCCTTTACCTGTCTCTCACCCATACAGATGTTAGAAGCTAGAACTTGTAGGTGGGGAGAGCTTCAGATATAGAAAACTGACAGAAATACCAGGAATATCTGTGCGAGAGTTGGAGTAAATCAGGCATGGTGACTCAGTCACCGTGAAGGCACTAGGAAACAAAATGGAATTGTTTGCATTTCATGTATATGGGTAATATTAAGGGCTCCAAGCACCTACAATATTTCAGTGACTGTAGGTGCTCCTTGGATTAATGAAAAAAAGTCCATTTGCACTAGCCAGCATTCATAACAATATATCGTCCTCTGACAGATTTAACCCTTTTTATTGTCTAAGCGACTGATTACTTTGTCTGAAATATGGGGCTTGCACCACACACAGAGAGCTCAGTCCTGGCCTGAGCCTTTAGGCAGTTTTATTATCTGTATAAAGAAATAATTTCCAAAGTCTACAGCTGGGTTTGCAGCTTAAGAAAAGATCTTTGTTAGGTGACCTGTGCAGAATAACACATTTTGGCAGCATGGCTCTCTTTATACTACAGGTATCAAACAACCTGAATTCTTTTACATCCTACTATGCAAACTTCAGTGATCAGCTAAAGGATGAAAAACAGTTTGTAGGTAATCAGTAGAGAAAATTCTGCAGACCAACACGTAAGGGAAACTGTGTAAAGCATGTAGCATGTGGCAGTTTCTGCTGCTCTAGTATTTGTCCTGTTGCTTCTGGTCTAACTTCCTAGCAATGACAAATTACAGGAGGGACTAGCAGAGAACTGACATGATTCTTGGAGTGTGTGATGTTGGCCATTTATTCCCTATTTTTGTTTTGCCAGGTGGTACTCCAGATTTTCATTTTTCTAAATCCTTTTGCTTCTGTTCGCAATTCATTTCTGGGAATGCTCTAAGGAGAGGAATGAAGTGAACAAGATACAGATTTGCCAGCTGCAGCATGTGATGCTGCAGTTAGATACATCTTGAGGCTTGTGAGCTATTGCAGATATGGGAACAAGCCCCACTAATCCACAGTCCTAATTTCAAGTGATAAAATATCACTATATAGCCAGTTTGCAAGTGTACTGAATTTGTCCTCAGTTTAGTTGGCAAAGATCTGCTAAAAAACAGAGTTCTGCTACAGGGTCAGGTTTTGTTGAATAACAAATTTGATTTTGACAGAAATATTTACATTTTTTAATGACTAAAAATCCATCCATCCAACCATCCGTTTGGTTTTCTTGTTTTCAATAACTAAAAAGACAATTCAGTAATGTAAAATTTTTGATCAGTTTTGGAAGTTTTATTGAAGGGTGTGCTTTTCAAGAAAGATGCAAAAGATCCCTGACTATTTCCAATTAAAATTACCAAACTGTTGTGAAGAATTATCATCACCTCATCAAACAGGGTCTGTTGATTTATTTTTTTTAATTGTCTCTGCTATTACTTTTTTAAAACTAGCTCCCTTTTTTCTCTTGTATTTGTTTTACATCTAACCTTATTACATTTTGTTTCAGCTGATGGGCTTCATCTATGCCTGTTATGTTGTGAAATGTATTACTGAAGAAGAGGACAGCTGTAAGTACTAAAGCTTTATTACATACAAAATGAATTCTTTTTTTTTAATCACCACACACACACACTATACCGACTTTTACTGACTTCAACCTAAATACTTTATTATAGTGTAACCAGAATATGCTTTCTGTCCATTCTTCTGGATCTAAAGTTTGTGACTGCCTGAAAGACAAAGGAGCTGTGAAATACAGCTAAAAAAATACATAGACCTTTCTTCTAAATTTTTTTCCTCACAGCTTCAGACATAAAAAAAAAAATAGAATCCCAACTTGTAAATACAAGCTTTGTTTTTATTTCATTGTCCCATGTTGTTAGTAATTATCTTCACAGTAACTGGTTACCACTGAGGCTATAGCTCTTCTGTGTTGGCTTCTGTGTTGGCTTGTAAAAGCACTTCTGGCCAAAAATAGCTTTAGTTCCTTGCAGGACCTTCATTTAAGAGAGGGGAAACTGTGATGCTCCTCTTTGCTTCTGCTGCTCCTAGGGTACAATTACAAGGAGTGTAATGATTTCATATGGATGTACATTTGTGTTTCTTCTGTTTATTTATATCAATAGAAGCCTGTTGAGTGGAATTTGCTCTTATTACATGCTATGAAGTCAAGCCATTTCATTTTTTCTCTGTTCTAAACCTGATTTTTTAAAAAGGGCCAAGGCAGCATTTCAGTATATCTTGGGATTCGTACTAAAGCACTTTAGAAACAAGTATCAGAATTGCATATAACTTTGATAAAATATACATGAATCCTAGAGAGAGGTCTGCAACAAGAAGCTGAAGGGTTTTTACTTGATTGAGAGCACTGCTAGGGCTGGTGGGGGTTCCTTTGTGTATTCTCCTGCATAGAAAATAGCCTCAACCCTATAATCTATTGGCAATACAGTGCCACTGTGAGCCGTCAAGGGGAAATATAATGTTGAAATCAAACCACACTTCAGAGGTCTTTCTGACTATGCTCGTTTCAGTTGTCTTTGTGTTTCTGTGGAGGCAAGACAAGTGTAAGAGTAAAAAGGGTTCAGAACAGGCATGTGGAGTAGGGGCATCACAAACAAATCTCATCTTCTTACAGAACGAACCATTCATATGTACTTTCCCCTACTTTCCCGTTAAGTGCATTCACTAACCACAGAGCTGGAGGATAGTGTCTCCTTGCCCCCAGAATTAAATCCTGTTTGATACCATTTTGCCCTCTCTTCCATTCGCTTAAATTTTTTCACTCTTCTGTAATGATTTAGGGAATGATATTAGTAAAAAAGCAAGGAAGGGACTTGGCTCACCAAACAAATGCAGAAATCAGAGCACATTTAAAAGGTTTCTCCCTTGGTCTGTAAAGCCACATTTCTCGCAGCAAAGTGCCATGGGCACTATGGTATTGTTTTCTGCTCACTGCAGCAGGAGCTCGCTGTTGTTCAGAAGACACAGACTGTCATGCGTTGAAACTGTTCTTGCTGTTGTCTTGTCTATTTTTGAGGCTTTTCTTACTTTCTTAGTACATCGCAGACAGGCTTCTGCTTCTAGCAAAAGAGCCATCTTCCCTCCCTCTGAGGTACTGGAGTGTATCTCCACCCACTGCAATAAAGCCAACACAAGCTCAGGCACTGCAGCATCACCTCTGGTGAGGCTCGGAAGCATGGCTGGGAAAAGAGAAAAAGGGAACTCCAATGGCTGGTCTGTCCCAACACTGTAGTAATACTCAGATCAGATTTGGCCTCTCAGAGTTTTTTAAAATTAAAGATGCTTTAATTTCTACTGAAAGGTTGCATGTAGCAGAAAGTAAGAATTATTCTCTCTCTGTTCAACCATCCACTCTGACATGTGCCAAGCACCCTCTGTGGCAGCCAGGGGCTACAGTCCATACAAATACCCCCTGCTCAGGTTTAATTTTAGATTCTTTTCTTTCCATTTAGATAATTTTCTCACCTTTTCTCTTCCTTTTGGCAACACACCCATATATATCCTGCTCCTCTGAGAAATAATATATCCCTTCTGAATGCCCTGTTATTTACTGTTTATATTCCAGAGGAAGATGCTTAAGCATAACTTCCTCAGTACATTCACAGGTGGGGTCATCTCATGTAGACCAAGTGAGGGAGAAGAAGAAAAGCTTTCAGGAGAAGTGGAATATATCCCAGAGCCATTCCTAGAGCTTCCTGCATATGCAAGTCTTTGCTCTGAGATCACTTCAGATCCCCTAGATTTGTTTCTCTTTCCATAGTCTCTTTTTCCACTTTTCCAGGTCCTCACCCCTGCATGCTGCTGTGGAGTAAGCTGTGTGGCACAAAGGGATGAAGACACCCCTCCTGCCCACAGCGTACTTCCTCCCACAGCTTTGATAGACATCTACCATAGCAGAAAACATATATTTACTCTGCTGCCCACCAACCCCTGCCTAGCATCTATACCATACCTGGTAAGGAGTGTTAGGCAGCTGGTGTGCTGTTTAGCTCTGCGTGCTAAAGGTGTGTCAGCTGTGAAAGATCCTCTAGTAAAACCAGTCACCACACAGCAACTCTCCCACAACACTGCCTGCTTTCCCAGCTGCTGAAGTACTCTGTGAAGAGTAACAGAGAGACTGCCATCTTCTTACCCACCTCTACATTCACAGACACATCACAGGAGAAATCTAGATCTCTGGTTTTCAGGACAAGTTATGCCTGTAAAAATGCGATTCCTCACTGACAGAAAAGACCATAGGGATAACCATATTGGGTCACACAAAAGGGCAGTTAGCTACAAGTCCTGTCTGATGAAACAGTGACACTAGTAAAAGCCTTTCTGGTGAGAGAGCAGCAAAAGAAAAATGCTGTTGCTTTTCACAATGAGTGTGGTGAACACCCATACACTCAATTCCATTTCTTCTGCTTTACTAATGAGCCACAGCAGTCCAGAAGAGGAGCAAAAGAGCCAGAAATATGAGCCTGGCAGGTGTGCGCAGCAAGGTATAAAACCAGAGAAAAAGTTATGCACTATCCAAGAGCCAAACATACACATGTTCCATATTTTAACCATAGCAACATATCAACACCAGTCTGGAGCAAAGAAGGTGCCTGATCTTTTTTTGGCACTTAGCCTCAACTGTAGAAACACAATCAAGTTCCTCTTAAGCTGCTTCAGCTGAATTAGCTTTGCTCTCAGAGTAATTGAAACAAGCTGAAAGAATTACTATTACTCTTTTTTTTATGCAGATTTTAAGAGGACAAATGAGCAAGAGTAGAATTAAGCAAACATTTCACTAAGATTAACCTGCTCTAACCTCACTAAAGGATTAGAAATGGAACAATACAATGATCAAATCAGCGTCATAACTGGGACTGAATCAGGAAGTCTGAAGGTTTTAATTACTCACACACCAAATAAATCCAGCAGCAAGCTCTCTAAGTCAAAGCTCATGTCCACACTACCTTATCTGCTTTAGGTTTAATTCTGCATCAAGGATTAAAGAACCTGCTTTCCTTCCTGATACGGTACCAAGCAGTGCTCTAACACTGGGTGCACCGGTGCTGAACTGCAGCACCCATCTCCAAGGGTCAGACAAGGGTGGCTTTTGCCCGGCTACTTCTCTTGGTGGTGGTTTGTTGCTCCTAAAAGGCACTTCTGCATCTTGTTCCCTGTGGCTGTGCAGGGAGGAGGAACACTGAGGCTTGGAGCACTTTGGCTCCCTATCTGGGAGAGATGAGGGCAGACAGATGCCCAGCAGGACTGTGGTCAACTCAGTGCTCTCCTTTTCACTATTGCCACTGGTATGCCCAAGCCATTGTCATTTTTATCTCATTACCATTATTAGCTGCAGCAATTAAAAGTAAAATATGAAAATGTCAGCAACAATCATTATTTGAAAGCATTCAATGGCTGTAAACTTTTCGGAGCTCCTCCTTTGTTTTCCAAAATCATATTAGGCCTGCATTTTTCAAAGGCTGCACATTATTTTTAATAACCTTGAAATGTTCATTTAATGTTCATTTCACCACTAGCAGTTTGGCTCACTGCTATAAGCTGTTACTGCCAAACTAAAAGAAAATTCAGTGTATTTTTGAAAACGTTTAGAAATATACAAGTATTTTGTGGAAAATCCTGAAATGTTGACAATACAGCAGCATCCTCCTGGGATTCTTTTGTCTGTAAGCAATTAAAAAAGAAACATGGATTACTGAAGTGAAATTTTGCACTCACCTTGCAGGTTCTGTTGAGGGAAAGGAGACTGGCTTGTTATTAGGACAGCTGTGGCTGTTAAGGAACCCCAGCCTAGAAAATATCACCAGTGTGTCACACAGTGAAATCCTAACCTAGAAGGCTCCCTTGCAAACCCAGACAGGGATAACAACATTTACCCACCATACCACAATGGCAAGGCAATCAGGGAATAAATATGGACTGTCTGACTGTTCCCTGAGGACCATAAGGTACAGCAATCTCATGCTAGCAAGGATCCAACTTGCACGTACATGATCTTCTTTTCTCTTGGAATTGTTTCCAAGTAAACTGCAACGCAAAAGACCCTGCAAGGGGATTAAGTAGAATTTTGCTGCATATTCCCTTGAGCCCAGCTTTTGGGCATGTCTGGCACAGAAATAAAGTGCTAGATAAGCTTTTAAAACTGTTTCACACACACACACGCACCCTTCCCCCCACCTTTCCACCACCACCCCCCCCTGTAAAAACTTGAATTCAAGATTCTATTTGAATCTCCGAAAATGTTTTGGAAAACAATATCCCAGGTAGGGGATATCTACTGGTGAGCAGTACAGCATAGCAAGTATGTGCCAATAAACTCAGTGCCAAACAACAGTCCAATCTTGAATCCTAGGCCTGACCTGAAAAGGTGATGACAAAGATTTTCTTTTAATAGACAATATTGAATTCATATAGATGTTAGAGATGTGAAATATTGACAGACATATGGGATAGGTAGAAAAGCCTTTTATTTTTAGCTGTTAGAGGCTGCCTTCCACTTTTGTTGAGGATATTTAACCTCTCCATATTCCCGTATCCTATATTTAAAATG